TTAATAGCTGATTCTGTTTTCCGACTATTTCCTGTTGTCTGGCAATACTTTTGTTGCAAGTCATGTGATTTGGCTTCTACTGAGGCAGTTCTCCTGGACCAATTTAATTGCTATTGTTATTGTTAAGAAATAAACTTTGAGTAACACATGGGTGTCCAACCTTGTTACTTGCCTGGGCTACACTGTGTGAACAAGAATTGTCTTGGGATGTGTATAAAATGTATAGTTTATGTATGGAATGAAACTTTTAAAATGCATTTTTAATTAAAATATTTTTAAAAAGCAACAAAAACATAAACTAGTAGGATACTTGACCTTGTGTAAGTATTGCAAAATGTCTGGTTCTGGAAGTGGAAGTAGCTGCAATTCAAAGTGAGTTCTCAAAGTGTTTGTCAGATTTCTGATGAAATTTGCTTCTTCCTGCGCTTAGTCTTTGACAATTTTTCACAAATGTATGTAATTCCAAACAGCACTGACATGAATGATGTCGTTGTGAAAATAATTTTACTTGTTAAAATAGAACTTATAAAAGTCTGGTAAAAATAAATAACCAAATATTTTCTGAATTGAATATCTGATTACAACTCTGTAAATTACCAGCAAATTTCTGAATGGAATGTATTTATATTAACTGGAAATGGAGTTGCAAATATACAAAATCACTTTTTGGAAATCTTGAAACCTATTCTCAAATAGGCTGTGTATTTTTTTTGTTTAGTTAATGTAATGAAATGTGTAAAATTATTTGCTATACTTGAACTCTCTATAATTAAAGGTTCATTTCAAATGGTGTTATGGATTAAAACATAGCACAGATAAAATTATTTTTTCACCTTGAAGATGCATGTTTAACTAGTTTTGGGGAGTCAAATCCACTGAAAGTTCTAAAGCTGTAAGCCATCTTTTGTTTACAATTTATGGCACAAATTTTAATTTTGATTCCATAAATTACTTGGTTTCATTTTGAAAATCATAAAATCTCAATTTTACCCTAGCTTAGATATCTTCCTTCAGAAAAGTAAAATGACCCCAAAATCAGCATCCAGACTTCTAAGGAACTCCTGGATTTGGAGATGATTCAAATTATTGGACTTTGATATTCACACCTCAGGTGGCTTGCATTACATTACTGATTTCTCTTTTAATATTTCTCAAAAACACTGATATTTCATCAAACATGAGTTGCTGGCATCCACTGCATTGTCTTCTATTAATTTTACAGGTCTTTTTTTTTTTTTTTTAACCAGCCATCAGAAGTTTGCCACCAGTGTGCCCAGAGAGGTTGTGGACACCCATCCCTGGGGAGCCTGGTCTAGTGGCTGGCAATCTTGCCCATGGTGGGAGGGCTGAAGCTAAATGAACATTGGGGTCCTTTCTATGGTGTAGTAAAGTCTGTGCTGAAAACAAGTGTGGATGTAACTGTACTGAGAAAGCCACCTGCTTGAATCAAACAGTGAGGTATAAGATGGCCTTGGTGGCAGGCATGACATGATCAAGTAATTTTAAATAGATTATTAATGCTTTTATACTGGAAATTAGTAAAATCCCTCTGAAGAGGGATGGACTGCTGTCCTGGGGGGCAAGGAACAAAGGTACTCTTAATATAGAATTTAGTGAGTTTTGTGAGAAGTCTTAGTTCTCCAATTCTTCTATGTAAGAAATTAAATCTGGTTGAGAATTGAAATGCTACAACACTTCTTACTCAGTAGATCCTATTCTTTGGATCTATCACTGTACAGGTTTCCTTTCAACTTGTCATTTACGTAATCTGATCATGTGCTGTTTGTTTTCTTTTTCTGCTGTGCCAGTGTAATTACAATATGTAGAGCAGCCATGATATTTTATTGACATTGAAATCCCCCAGTATGCTTAGCTTTAGAACAGTGGATTCAACTGCATGCTTAAAATATTATTAAATTCTGAGTCACAAGATTCGTGTGTTATTTTTTTTTTTTTTTCTTCTCCACACCAGATTGGGAATGTTAATTGAAGATTTTGGAAGAGAGGGATAAAGGTTGTCTTATTTAATACATGGGAACAGGTCAGGTTGAGATCAGAGTTTTGTTTTTTTTCATTTATTTATTATTTTTTTTTTTTAGTATTACTCAGTGTGCACCTTTATAAATATTCTGTAGTAGAAGATGGAATACTGATGTCCTGGGACTTGGAAATCAGCTAACTACACAAAATGAGTTTGCTTTGAAACATATGATTTAAACTTCATGTTGACACAAAAATATACAAGAACCTTCTCTTAAGGGAAGTGGTAGAAGACATCACTCAAATTATGTAAAATTTTACCCTTTATGAAGAATTCAGAACTATATTACAGAGATGAGTCATACATTGGCCGGGATGGAACAAGATGACTTAAATCTTTAACTATAGGCTTATTTGCCCAATGATTTATCTTAGTTTAGTAAGAAGATAAACATGCTTCTGGATTTGTTGTCCAAACAACACTGAAGACATTAAAGCTGATGTTATACTTCTGTTACTCACATAGATGTATATTATATCATGGGTGATACTTCTTTCACCCAGAAATACCGTAGTGAAAGGGTAAGATGTGGTCTTTTCCTGGAGGCATTCAAGGCCAGGCTGGATGTGGCTCTGTGGAGCCTGGTCTAGTGGTTGGTGACCCTGCACATAGCAGGGGGGTTGAAAATAGATGATCACTATGGTTCTTTTCAACCCAGGCCATTCTATGATTAATATCTTTTAATTTAACAAGTTCACATTAGTACATATTTAGCAATAGTTTTGTCATGTTACTGTGCCTGAAACTTGTGTATATATTAAACATGTCTCTATAAACAGGTATCAGCACTCACCATTCTGATCATTAATGGCCTCCTCTATATGATCTCTGATCTCCAATGCACAAGATCACAGAACTGTCTAGAACTCATGTAAGTTAATGGTTTTTGAGTTTCCTTATTTCATCAGTTATGCCCAGTTATGGGCATATCATTTATGGCCGAGGAAACGGCCAGAAGTTATACCAGAGGAGGTTTAGGTTGGACATTAGGAGAAACTTATTCTCTCAAAGGGTGGTCAGGCACTGGAATGGCTGCCCAGGGAGGTGGTGGAGTCGCCATCCCTGGCAGTGTTCAAGAGGAGCCTGGATGAGGAGCTACGAGAGATGGTTTAGTGCTTGTGGTACTAATAGAAATGGGAGGGTGGTTGGACTAGATGATCTTGCAGGTCGTTTCCAACCTTGTGATTCTGTGATCTGTGATTTTTAACAGCAATTATATTAACTTTCCTTTGCTAGAAATAGAGAGTTCTGTATTAAGTCTGCTTGTATGGATTAGGAGAGCAAGTTGCAGACAGATCTATCAGCAGTAAGAAAAGTATTTCTTCACAGTAAAATAATAATAATAAAAAAGCTTTGTTAGGAGGCATGTTCCTATGCCAATATTGTTTTCCATGCTGGGGTTCCATCTGCATTTGCTCTGTAGCATCAGTTAAAGATTTTTCGCATTCTGCAGCCAGTTAGCGCTGCCAGGCTGTTATTCTCCTTCCAAGGATATTTACTTTCAGCTTATGCTCAACCAACTTAAAGGATAAATTCTTTTCTTCTTTATTGTATTAAACTTCCTTGTGTACAGTAGCATTTCATCACATTTCTATCACTCAGGTCATATATTCAACTTGTTTCTCTTCTGTCTTCTGGATTGGTGATGCTTCCTGTTTCAGTTTCATCTGCAAATCATAAGTTCATAATGATTCTTTGTGAAGAAAAATGTTTCAAGATACTTAAGTCGTGCAAGACCTCTTCTGTTAACTTCCTCCACTCCAGCTGTATTCATCACTACTCATTTTGCATTTACCTCATTAGTCCATTTTTCAAGATAGCCAAAAATATCCAGTTTAATTACCTGTCACATTAAATGATCTTACAGAAATCAAGCAGTCTACATGACTGCCTTTTCTTATTAGATCAGTTTTTTCATCCCCCAAAAAGATATCAATATAACGTTCTGTGCTTTATCCTGTTTTTGCCTATTTCTGCCTTTGCATATTTACTTGTTTCTTGAAAAATTGCCTCTAAGCCTAATATTCTATGATGTGTTATGCAAACTGACATTTTCAATAAATGCGCAAAGCTTGCTGCTCACAAAGCTTACGATACTGCTTCATCTTGAAATAATAAAAAAAAAAGGCAAAAATATCCCAACAGTTTCCAACAAAGTAATGTAAACAAATATTCCCAATATTCTCAGGCTCATACATTTTCCCCAAAGATTTGCATTTTTTTGTGTAAGATAAAATTGGTGATAGGGAAAATATGTTGGCAAGAAAATTCTAATTACTATATATTAGCTTTTAGAATTGGATAATCCTTCATTCCTGAATTAAGTAGCCTTTGTAGAGTTTGGCAGAGTAGACTTTTTGTATCATGTATTTCCTTTCAAGTTTGGGCCTCAGTCTGATGCTTTCTGACATCAGCCCATCCCACGTCTGTGTTCTGGAGCAAGCGTGGGACAGGGTCTTAAGTATGCCCTTATGGATACATTGTGTATTCTGCAAATGCTCATTGTTAAAAATGGAATTATCAGAAAAAGATTAAAAAATTGTTCTAGTGTCTGTATTGATAAACAGACACTAAAATAAAAGCATAAAATTTCACAACTGGATGCTTATTAGAGTTCTTTTGCTTTGCTAGGTCGAATTCGACTGTTTTTAAACTCTGCCAACTAAGACTTATGGATTTTCTGGCCAAACTTGTTTGTCTCAGCTTGTTTATCCCAATTTGTATCATTTTTTGAGATTATAGCTTTTGGTATTTGCACAAAACCCTGTCTGGACTCGCCTCACACAAGAGAAACTTTCTGAAACCCAGAGTTTGGGTGCATTTGGTGTAGTATTTTTTTTTTTTTTTTTTTTTTTTTTTGTTCCAACTCATATTGACATTAGTCCTTGTGGTTTTTTTTTTTTTTTTTTTTTTTTCTTTGTGTACTCTAATGCTTATATCAACTTTCTCTGTTTCACAGTTAAAGGAATTTCCAGTACTTCAGGTCCAAGATATTAGCAGTAGTGGAGAAAAATGGTATTTTTTGTTTATCATCTAACTTCTGCTTGCTGACCTATGGAAACTTGTAATTGCTTCCAGATACAGGGCTCTAGACTCAGTGTACTAACAACTCTTGTTTGGTTTCAAAATGTTTTGGTTTTTTTCTGAGAAACTCAGTTTTTTCTAAATACAAGCAAAAAATTCTGTGTAGGAAGGTTGTTACTGGTGATTTTTACAAGGTTAGTGGAAGAATAAGAGGCATCTCCTTTGTTAACCTGAAGTGAAGCACCCTGGCATTGTATCTGAAGTAGCCATCTCTTCAATGTAAAACTTCAGAAGTTCATTTGTTCTTAACTTGATAGCTAATTAGAGAAAAGTGTGAAAAATATCAAGTTAAAATGGAGAAATCCAGTTAATTTTTTCCCTTAAATTCAAAATTTACATTTTGGGAAATTCACTCCTGACAAAATATGCTCTTTATTTTGAGAAGCAGACAAAACTATAGAACAGATTCTGCATTTAATGACAAGCAATTACAGATACTCAGTGTATTCTAATTCCATAATTCTTTAAAGTAATTGCATGCATATTGCCTTTTTCCACATTCAGAATCTTTCACAAACATTCTTAACCAATTACTGTTAATACTCTTATGCTTTACATTTTCCTAAGCAGAGACCAATATTTAATTTACAGACTTCAAAGCTAGGCATTGAAACAAGTATTTCAAAATACCAAGTATGGAAGACATTGCATCAAAATGGGGAGAGTTTTACAAGTTCAGTTTAGGCAGACATCTAGATGCTTCTTTTGCAGCTAAGAGCTGCTACATCTTCATGTCAGAAAATCATTCCCCGGGAAGAGCCTCAGCCTCTGTTCCACATTTGTACCATTTGCTTCCCCTTATTCAAAAAAAAAAAAAAAACCAACTAGATCATGTGCAGCCAAATTTTGATCCATTTTAAACCAGCTTTGTCACAGTGTTTAGTGAAATGAAAACCAGATCAATACCCTCAGAGATTGTTATATAGAACAATAGACTGTGATATTATATACATATATACATATATATACATGCTGTCTCATAGATAATTGTTCAGGTCACTTGCTGGTAAGATCTCTAACACTAACTCTTTTATGACTTATTTTTGATCTCAGAGAATGACAGCTCAGTCACCCTTTGTGTGTTTGTCTTCCAGGTAGAGTGAGGGACATTTGAGGATACTTCTTACAGATCTATATTCAGATAATTCAGATGCACAGTGTTTCCCATTGTATTTCTAATACAATAATTTATTAGGTGTGAACTTTCTGAGAGGAAAGTTTTAATGGAAATTACCTTACTGATTGCTTTAGTAACTGTCATAATGAATATCAGATCTTCAGAAAATGCTTGGGAATTTATTTTATTATTTTCAGTAGATGAGGTTAATAGTTTGTATAAAATAGAGCTAGCAGCATGACTTAGCTGTCAGCAAAGCCACTTGCTGGAGGGTTGGTAGGAATACAATAGTTAGAAAAGATGGAAAATAATGTGCTGAAGCATTCATTTTCAGAGTGTTTTTGATACTGATTAATTGATAAGTCAATTTTGGAAAGATAAACTATAGGTTTTGTTGGAACTACCTTAGGAATTGAGGTTACACAGTATTTGCTTTATATTTTGTAACTTCAACCAAAGGAAGTTAACATTAAATGGTAGAGGTCTTTTACGTGCACCTGAGTGCATGTATCAGTGTAGGTAAACATCTGTCTCTTCCACTTATGATTTCTCCCATTTTTAATGCCTATCCATAGAAACTAAGCTCACTTTTCACTGTGTATAACACATAATTATATTGCATTATACTGGAGTCTGACTTTTGAAACACATACATCTCACTCATCCTCACGATTTAGGTGCTTTGAGATAAAAGTTACAATTCTTATATAAAGAATGAATATAAATTCTTATGTACTTAAATACGTGTGTGTGTGTGTGTATATATATATAAACACAATTATTGTCAATACCAATACCTCTCTATGTATTTGAATCTAATTGTTCCTTCATATTTGATGAAGGAAATTATTATTAAAAGAATTGTTATGTGAGTTGGAGGGTCTGGATTTTACATTTGAAGTATGGATTAGAAATAAGTTATCTTTTCCTGTATTGATTTCTTTCTTTTCAGTCTTAGGTTACTTCATTATTTTTTTTCCTAGCATGGCATCAGAACAGCACCAATAGGTACTTTAAACCTGTCAGATTAGCCAGGATAAACCTTCTGTGGGTATGCATGTTGCATTGAATCATAAGGCTCCTGAAAGTCCTAGCTCAGCAATCCAACCAACTATGCAAACACACGCTCATGTTACTGTAGCAATAGAAATTTTTGATTTAAGATGATATATTTTTTTAAATAGAGATTAACTTGTATTTTTTTGACATGTGTTCACAGTGTTTAACATTTTATTACATGAAAATACAATCTTGGCAGTTATGAGGCAATGGAAAAAAATAGTTTTGTAGACTTGTTATAAAATTGTTATGAAATAAAACTTCACTTTTCCTTCCTGAATGTTACCTATACCTGATCAATGAGGTGAGAGATGGAAAATTGTTCAGGGTCTTGTTTTATCCAAATATCATAAGTCAGTTGGAGTAATGTATTTTCTTATCTTCTCCAAGATTAGAAGAGAACCTGAATAATATCCCCTGTAATTGCATGGCAAATTAGTAATGTCTGAAATCAACAGCTAAGATTTTTGTTCTTGACTTTGTTCTGCCTGATTTTCTCTGTGGGAAAAAGTTTGGTGTGAATGTTTCTAGAGACATCTTAAGACCGTTGTTCTCACTGACTGTGAAAAGGTGAAATTGAGTAAAATAAACAGAAGGCCCATTATCCACTGGCATTTTTTCACTTTCTCTTAATATTTATTTTCCTCAAACAGTTTCAAGTACTGGTCATTGTCACTAATAACTTGGATAGAGTATTATCAGGTTACATTTTCTACTGTTCTCTCTTTCCTCGTGGTCAGATATTAAGAATTACTGTTTTTAGAGTTGTCCAGCAAATAAAAGTATTTTTTTTTTACTTACGGAGGTTTGTGATTTTCCACCCTTCAGTAACCTGAATATTTATCTATATTTGTTTTCTTGCTTGAGTATAACTCAAATTCATAACTCATGAGCAAAACAGGATAGATTTGCACAGAGATATAAACATAGTTCAAAAAAAAAAAAAAATCTGAGTAGTGTGTACCTGCACGTGTACATGAGAAAGGAACAATTCTGATGTTAGTGTCTGCTTTACACTTTTGGAATTTGGATTTGTAATTCCTTTAGAGATTGAGGGTGGAAGCTCTACAGTCAGCAGTTTAACCTGTTTTGTTTCCTTGGTGCTGTTAAATTAATTCAAAATAAATCTGTTTGCAGACTGTTTTTACTTTTCTGAGTTTAAATTGGGCAATTTGTAGTCTGAACTCTTATCAAAATGTAAATCTGAGTAGAAGGCACACTGCCATTATTTTTAGGGCTGGATTTGCTCTTGTATTTATTTGTAGTAGTCCTGTCTAGTAAGAATAACAATTTGATCTATGCATTTTTATTATCACTGGGTCATCTGCAGGAATAAATCCACGGTTTAGCTTCTGTCTAACAGTGTTTTTATAACATAGAAATAACAACTTGAAAATTAATTTTTAGTCAGACTTGAAACTGTTTGCTTAGCTTTGCTGTTACTCTGGTATGTTACTTCATAAATCATAAAACACAACAGTTCGTTATATATAAATCTTCCTTTAGTATCAATTTCCTTTAGTATAAAGGTAGAAATTCTATTTTCTTGACGTCAGTATTAAGTTTTTCATAGTGCTACAAGGCCATCCCTATGTAATTATTCACATCCTCTTATATATCTGAATAATTGTTTGCATGTTTCTCTCCAGCAAATTCAAGCTGCTCTGGTAGAGTGCTTCAAATTGGGAAGAATGCTGGGAGAAAAAAAAATTATCAAGACCTTTATACATCCTAGTATACAGTGGTGCAAATAATTTATTTTTCAAGGAGATATATAAACCCATGCACACTCAATGTGTAATTTCTGCTGATCCAGAATGAAGAAGTTTCCAATTGCTTTCTAAAGCAGAAAGCCTCAGCACTTTTGTTCCAGCTTAACAAAACATTCTCTTTGACTGAAATTACATTGTTCATCTGGCTTTTTTCTTTTTAACTTCTAAAAATATTCAAAAATTAAGCATAACTACATGTGTTCTCAATACTTCACTTGGAAAAACAAGCCCTAAAACCTTTCTTACCCTCATTCCAAACTTACTACTAAATTAGATATGAATTTGTGAAGAGTTTCAGTGGTCACAAAACTGACTATTTCAGTGAATGAGCTACATATTGGAGAAAAATGTTCACCTGGTTCCTATTATAGCACTGAGCTGCCAGTGTGGGAGTCTGCTCTAATGGTTTGATGTGGGCTGGCCTTATGTCAAACCCATGGTAGCCATTCCCAGGGTGGGTGAAAGCTGCTATTGAAGAATGGTTACGATACACATCTCTGTGTCTAAGTAAGGTGAATTACTCATCAAACCTCCTCTACAGGAGTTAAACAGAATGCATAGTCAAGTCCATAATGAGGGTGGTTTTCTATATGTTTTGAGGCTGCAAAGCCTTCTCTCTAAGGTGATGATTTCCCAGTACACCTGTTTTGCAAAGACTCTGGTATTATTGAAGTGTTACAAAGAAGTGTTCTTAGATGTGGTACAGAAATGGATCTACATTGTTTCCTCCAAAAGTAACGCCTCATGTTAGTTTTCATGGAACTTACAACAAATATCTAAAACACAGTAACTTGTAACTCTATGAAACAGTAACTCTATGAAACACTTTTTCAACATAACATTGGACCATTAGCTGTGCCTTTTTGCCAGCAATAAGCAAGACCCTGCATGCTGCATTTGTAAATATTTACATGTATGTCTGGAATGTGGCTTGTCTTTCATGGCACTGTCACCACTGCTGAAATGCACTACCCACCACCTCATCATGCTCACACCCAGTGTTTGGTGTCCAGCAGTGTTCAGCAAGCAGTGATAAATGTCAGTGGGTGCCATTTTTTTTCCACATGGAAGATTTCAATTCCATGTCTTTTCTTCACATGCACTTCCACGTCAGATACCATTGTGTCAGACTGCCACAGCAACAAAATGTGATGGAACATTGATGGAAAGGTTCAATCTCTACTGACGTACCTCCACTGTCTGCCTCTGACTTTATGGGCCGATATCATAAAATAGGAGGCTTTACTTTCAGAGCAGACCTCAGACAAAACTCTGTGGTATAATAGCTTACCTTTTAAACAACATAATCAGTGTTAAGCCTGTGTCACTCAGGTATTGATGTAGTCCCTACTAGTTCTGATTTATGTCTTATTGTGTTTAATGAAGGATCTCACTTGAAGAATAGGTATTATTTGGTATAAAAAGTGTGCCAGAATATGATACTTGAAATAAGAAGTGTTTATATTGTTGGGAAGTGATGTAATGGCAGCTTGACTTATGTTTATTAGCATGTGAAAAGCATTAGCAGTATATCTGTCTGTTTTCTATTAAATATTCGTATGCTACAACAAAAAATATCCATGGATAACAAACTGGAAACTATGCATAACTGGCTGCCTTTAAATTTTCTTGTTTTCTTTTTCTTTTTCTTTTTTTTTTTTAAACTAATTTCCAGTGAACAAACAGGCTCCATAAAGGTGATGTAGAGAGACAATATGCATAAGGCTCTTTTTAATAGGAAAGAAAATAAAACTAACCTAAAAGTAACTCTGCTTTTCCTACGTGTTTTAGGAAGTATGGATACTTCTGAATTTCTGTTTTGATATGGTGGCTTTTTTTTTTTTTTTTTTTTTGTTTATATTCCTGAAGGATGTGGAAGCTCTGCTTAGTAATTACAGGCCTCTTTCAGTTGATTTGTGCATAGGGAGAATGTTTGTTTGTTGATTTTAAATATCTGATTTATTTTATGAAAGATGAAGCCTCTGTCTAATATCTTTGTGAATCTAGGCATTACTATATTAGAAGAGAAACACACCACAGATGAAACAGGCTGTATAGTTACAAGTTACTTTCTTATTTGTGTATATATAGATTTATCTTCTTCTACCAAATTAAAAAAAAAAAAAAAAAAAAAAAAAAAAAAAAAAAAAAAAAAACACCCCCCTAGGGGAAATATTTAAAAATTATAAATGTTTTTTTCTTTTTTTTTTTTTCAGCATTTGCCACAGTCTTTTATAGCATTTCGGTGTTTTTCTTTTCCCTGTTTATTTGTTTTGAGATAAGTAGTATCTTCATCTAAAAACTTTTGTCATCAATTTGAAAAGTTGCGTGATGTGAAAGTACATATTTAAGCTTTATATCTGAACAGTTCAGTTCTCACAACATAGTGGTCTTTTAATAAGTCAAATATTTTAAAGCAAAAATATGCATCAGAGAAAGACAAGCACTCTGACGGATGTATTCCAATTAAAATGATTGGAGTGCCATTAAACTGAAGTCCTATTTGAGAAATGATAGAATGTGAGAGATTATCAGCTTTATGCAATTCACATTTAAAATCTGAGGACTGTACTAAAGTAACGTATTAAATTTCACAGCCAATTTGAAAGAAGCTTCAGGCCATTTTCTAAAGATTCTACGGGTTTAGTGCTGCTTTTAGCAGCCAAAGAACTATGTAGTATGTAAGAGGTGATCTGGCATATGAAAGAGAATATAACAGTGGCTTCTCGTTACTTTATGATGTATATGATACCCTAGAAAAAGGCTTCTGAAAGTAACTTCTATCAATAGAAATTTCAGCCGGGGTTAGATTTTATAAAACAATAGTTTCCCAAAATTGTTTTTTTCTCTTCACATTAATTTTATTAAATGATTCATAAGTACTGTGAGATGGAAAATAATAACAGTTGAACATCAGAGTCAATGTTTGGGAAAGCTGGATGGGACCATTTCACTAGAATTTAGGTCAGTGGGGATTGCATGGAATTTAAAGTTAGGGGCAATAATTCATTTGTAAATGAAGTCAACAGAAATTACTGCTTTTAAAAGTACAGATATGTCAAACCTTTTGCAATGGTGGAAGAACTTATTTGATGTGAGTAAAACAAAACAAATCCAAACAAAAACCAATAATTCAAAAAACCTCAAAAGTTTTTCCTAATAGAAAACTTTGTACCGTTAATGATAATAGGACTGTAGGGAGCAAG